TTTTTTTTTTTTTAAATAATATAGTCAAGTTACAACCATCTAGATCAGGCTTCCTCAAACTGTGGCCCGCCTAGAACATTTATCTGGCCCGCTGAGTGTTTTTGCCTCTACTGCCTATCCTGCTTAGCAGCTGGCCCATTCCAGGGCCCGCAGTCCAGCCCTCCAACGATCTGAGGGACAGTGAACTAGTCCCCTGTTTAAAAAGTTTGAGGACCCCTGATCTAGATAAAAGCCATCTGAGTATGAAGACTTCAAGGTTCAAGTGCTTTTAGCTTAAAGATCTATTGGCCAGGCCCAGGGCCCATTCCCCTTATGATTTTGGATACTGAATAAAGCTTAGGTCAATTTTATGGTTGGCAGAGTGGCTTCTTTTTCCAATGGCTGCAACTCCTTTTTCAACTGGGCTTTTGAGGATTTACATCTGTAGACTAAAAACCTGGCTGAGGAACCAACAGGAACCAGAGTGCAAGAGTTTAAATGATAGTGTAAACAAGAAAGTAATACATGGAGTTTGTGAAGAGTGAGCAAGAAAGGTGAGAGGCAGGACAGGGAGTAGGGAGAGGAATGGCTATATCAAAAAACAAGGGCCTGAGTTACGATAAGCTCTGTGGAAAAGGGGAGGTGCAAGCAAGAGCCAAGAGGTACCACAGTAGAGGTATTATACTGCACTTAGCTACTTACATACTGAAAAGATTTTGTGTCCTAATATAAACAACAGTTGTTTTGAAAAAGTAAGGAAAATATCCACTCATGTTCCCATTATCAATCTCCAGAAGAAATCAGGGTAATAAATTTTTTTTTCTCTGTTCTGAGACAGAGTCTCACTTTGTCGCCCTCAGTTGAGTGCATGGCGTCACAGCTCACAGCAATCTCAAATGCTCGGGCTTAAGCGATTCTCTTGCCTCAGCCTCCCAAGTAGCTGGGACTACCACAACGTCCAGCTATTTTTGTGTTGTTGCAATAGCCGTTTAGCAGGCCTGCGCTGGCTTTAAATCTGCCTGCTTTGGTGTACGTGGCCAACGCTCTACCCACTAAGCTACAGGCACCGCCAGGTTAATAACATATATATTTTTTTTAGAGACAGAGTCTCACTTTATCGTCACAGCTCATAGCAACCTCCAACTCCTGGGCTTAGATGATTCTCTTGCCTCATCCTCCTGAGTCGCTGAGACTATAGGCAAGATTTTTGAATTGTTCCTTCAAGTTTGTTTTTTTCTGTTTAGTCTTTATACAGTTGAGATAATAAATCTTCAATATCTATAATTAAATTCTGTGAACTGGTAATACATGTGCATGGTTTAAAACTCAAAAAGTACACAGTTAATAGTTCATCTGTCTGGTTCCCATCCTTCAAAAGATACCGTTTATTTTTAAACTTGGCTTTCAGATTTGTTCTCATGCAATGTAATTTAAATGAAGAGAAATGAAATGCAATCAAAAATAGTTCTATATTTACCATAATTTTACTTCATAAAAGTCATACGCTGATGGCTTGGTGCCTGTAGCTCAGTGAGTAGGGTGCCAACCACCTACACTGAGGCTGGTAGGTTCGAGCCT